ACTTACTTACTTTACTTCCTTACTTACTTACTTACTTACTTACTTACTTACTTACTTACTACTTACTTACTTACTTACTTACTACTTACTTACTTACTTACTTACTTTACTTACTTACTTTTACTTACTTACTTACTTACTACTTACTTACTTACTTTACTTACTTACTCTTACTTACTTACTTACTTACTTACTTACTTACTACTTACTTACTTACTTACTTACTTACTTACTTACTTCTCTTACTTACTTACTTACTTACTTACTTACTTACTTACTTACTTACTTACTTACTTACTTACTTACTTACTTTACTTACTTACTTACTTACTTACTTACTTACTTACTTACTTACTTACTTACTCTTGAGAATTCCAACATCTGAGGACTTTAATGTGAACTTAGCCCTACAATTGTTAACCAAATAGAAAATTGTATTTTATTGCAATTCTCATCACAAATATTATTAGCAATTCTTCTTTAGTTCCTATTATCTTTCTCATATAATCTTTAAAGAAGTGCTGTTATCACTTTCAAACTTTCCCACTTTCAATAAATGTTCATCATCTCACGTTCTTCATCTCTCAATCTAATGTTCTACCCCATCTACATATGTTTCCACAAATATTAAAAAATATAATCTTATTTAACTTTTCTCTTACAGTATCGTCCCCGTCAGTGGTCTTGGAGGCGTGGCGAAGCTCGTTTATACAGCCCGCAAACGATACACATGTAGAAAATTGTATAATTTTAATTTTAAAGAAACTTTCTTCGCCTTTGACTTTTTTTAACTTTGTTACCCAAACCTCTATAATTTGTGTTGTATTTTTTATTATTTGTAAAATCTTTTATAAATTCTTTACACTCCTAAGATTTCAAAAACATCGACATAATCTGTCTATATCTTTTACTCTATTATTACTATTGTGTTTAAAACTTTTTAAATTTATAAAAAAAAAACAAAAATTGTGTATGTATTTTCGTTCTTTTAGTGAAATTTTTGTATCATTTTTAAAGCACACAAAACTAAACTATTTTATAACATAATTTTAACATTTATTAAGAAACAAAAAGAAGAAAAAAAAAAGATTAGAAAAACAGCAAAAGACACAGTAAAATTAAATAATTTTGTTTTTTAACTACTATTCTTTCTATAAATCAAATTATTTGTTTTGTATTGTATTATTTTTTGTGTTGTAGGATTTTGTGTTTAATAACTTTTATTTTTAATTTTAAAAATAACAATTCTTGGACTTTTAATTTAAAAAAAAAACTATATTTTTATTAATATGTGTGTAAAAGAGAAAAACAAAATGAAATAAATTTTCTTTGTTTTTATTTTGGTTACTTTCTTTGATTATATGTGCAAAATATACATATATTTGAAAAGAAAAGGAAATATTTTTTAGTTAAAAATATTGTGATTTTTTTATGTTTAATATTAAATATTTGTGTGTGTTTATTTTTTTTAATTTGTCTCATATTTTGTATCTGTACATTAAAAAAAAATTATAATAAAATTAAAATAAATAAAACAATTTATTATTTTTTTCTTAAGTATGAATAACTATTGGAAGCAAGCTTTAAGTGTTAAGAATATTGTTTTCCTGGAATAGAACGGAGTTGGAAGTTTCAATTACTTTAAAGTTCCACGTACATAATAAAAAAACACTAATTAAAATCATATGAATCAATCATCATCAATTCCAATCTTTATTTAACGCAATTATTTTGATTTGGTTTAAATGCATAGAAATGTCAACTGTAGAAAGTATTATATACTTTTTGTGTGACTTTTGACGAGAAGGGGATCGTAATTCTATTGGGAACATGTGCTAATCTATTAGTTTGGATAATACAGGTTGTTGTAACAGTTCGACTGTGGCCAATAATTCTTTTCTGGGCCTTCCGTAGCAATTGCTTCTTCAACTGTCGTACGAACGATACGCTTATTCGGTTTTTCTGAGCTCGTTAAATTGTACTTTATAGGTCCTTCCAATATGTCTAATAAGTAATATGTATTTAATTATTTTGTCTTAATTTTGAATCCTTTTCACTGCCGATCATACTAGGTTAGGTTAGGTTGATAGGAGGATGTATACTACATCAAATCCGAAGAAATAGGTGTATTTCTACTTCCACTATCGGGCCTGTTGTGCGCTCCAATTCATGAAAAAAAAATTGTTCACTGAATGTATTATTTTTCCATGTTCAGAAACTCAGTTTCCTGGACGTAATTCCTAAGAATCTTCCAATCAGTGTTGGTTAAGAATGTTATTTCCGGAATAACATCACTTACAAGATACTTGGATCTAACTTCGACGAATGCCTGACAGTGGCAATAAAGTGCTCCAGAGTTTCACTGTCCTCTCCACATGCTCTACATTTGTCTGAATCCGCACGTCCAAGTTTGTATAGATGTGCACGCAATCCTGTGTGTCCACTCAGAATACGTACCATCATACTAACCTCAGACTTGCTCATTTTGAGGAGATTTCTCGTCTTGATCTCATCAGGGTCACCCCATAGAATCTTTGTGGTTCTACCCACCGTTTCATTATTCCAAGAGGCCTTATGGGATTCTCTCATCCATATTTTTAATTCAGCTTTTGTTGCGTCGAATGGTTTTGCGTTTGTCAGGTTAACTACATCGAGCTCCCTTCCCTTTAAAGCTATTACATTCGCCCTTTCGTTTGCCGACTACTCCCGAGTGGCCTGGTACCCATATGATGTAAACCTTACCTCTGGGAGAGTATTCAGTTAAAGCCTTCTTACAATCCAATGATCCAGATGATTATCTAGTATGTTGACTTTATTATTGACCTGTGTATGGGCTATTCTGTGGACTAGTCTAGTCAAAGTATAAGTCTGTTGACTTATTTATTGTCTAGTCTGTTGTCAGTTCTATTAACAAGTTATGAACTAATCTAGGGACCTGTCTACCGACAAGTATATCACTAGTCTTTGGATTAGTATATAGATAATCTTTTGACTAATTATCCAATAGTCTAGTCTGTTGACTTATTTTGTTGATTAGCTTAATGAGTAGTCTATTGACTGTTTTATTAACTAGTTATGAAGCTAGGGTCCTGTCTTCTGAATATTATGTGACTAGTCTATGGATGTTGTTGTTGTTGTTGTAACAGCTTCTAAATATACAATTTTTAAATCGGGGGTTCTGTATTTAGGTCCAAGCCAAGAATTGGGCTACTTCAATAGGGTTAGTCCATAAATCCCATTGGGCTAAGTGAAGTAGGGGTGGGCTGGGACAGTTTGAATATGGGAGGGTATCATGGGGACCCTGGGCGACCTCCAAAACGACATTCATTCAACCTGAAACCGCGGTATTGATGGCGTCTCGTTCAGAGCTGCTGTATACGAATTCCGATCTAAGGGATCCTAAACATAACTTCGTATGCTCTCTTCGTATACACGAAGGTCCTTCATGACATGCCTCGGGGGAGCATCCAACTATGTGATGTTAAAGTTGGGATGACTCCTCCCGTTACATCCCAGGAGGAACTGTTTAGTCAGCATGACGTTATGTTCCTTGACTGGGAGGACCTTCGTTTCCTCGTGTAGACTATGGACAACTACTAGTCTATGGAATTATCTATTTGCTAGTGTATTAAAAGGTCTATGAATTAGTCTAATGAATAGTATGTTAACTAGATGCAAAGATGGTCATAATACAATTGGGAATGTGATAATCTATCAGTTTGTGTAATACAGGTTGTTGTAACATTTCGACTGTGACCCAAAATTCTTATTCCTTTCAAATCAGGTCAAGTTCAATCATCCATGGCGAATTGTCTGCCCTCTTTTAGAAGAGGGCAGTCACATAAAAAGTATTGTACCGATTGTTTTTATTTCTCATCTAACTTATGCAATCAGAAAGTGGCCAGTAAGTATGCCGATATAAAGCTTTAATGAATTTCTTTCAAACGCTCGAAGAGTCAAGGTCCTTTTCAGTGAAAAACAATATTCTGTAAGTGGTGATAGTGGACCACATGTGTTTCCACATGAAATTGCTTTTGCGAAATTGTTTTTCTTTTTCTTCCCAAATCTGGTACGATTATTCTTACGTGACGAATTGTTGAGACAGTTCAGATCAGATGAAAGAGGCATGTACAAAGATATCTTAGTCTGAAATCTTGTGGAATAAGGCAATTACATTAAAAGTATTGTACCGATTGTTCTTTCTACTCTTCCAAAGAATTTTTGCAATCATACCAATCATAAATTATGCCGTAAGTATGCCGATAGGAAACCTTAACGAATTTCTATCAAAGCCCAAGAGAATTAATGTTCTTCTTCTGTTTAGAGCATTTTGGATATTCTGTATGTGGTGATAGTGGACTTCTGTTCTTATTTTTCGGTATCCCATTCGTCTACCCTTTTGCGAAACCGTTTTTCTTTTTCCTCCCAAATCTGTTACGATGTTTTTTGAGACAGTTCAGATCA